GGTGGTTCCTCCTTTTCCTGCCATAGCCTGAACATGGCAGGGGGCGGTGGTCCCGCTGCCGCTCTTCGTTGGGCTTCAGCTCTCACTCCTCCAAGCCTTCTGTCAATGGCCTCCCTAAATTGATCGTAGATATCCCCATCCATAGTAGAGGAAATCAGCCCGCTTCTCTCGTCTTCCCGCCTTATATTACAGAATCTTATAGTGTGGCCTTGCTGGTCACAATGTTGACAGATGGCCGTCCTCCAGTCAAAGCGGGGTCTTCCATACCCCTGACTTCCCTGATCCCCCTGTCCTTGATACGCCTTGCCTTGATAGCCCTGGCCTTGGTACCCCTGGCCCTGACTCCCTTGGCTTTGGTACCCCTGACCTTGACTCCCTTGGCCTTGACTCCCTTGGCCTTGGTACCCCTGGCCTTGGCTCCCTTGGCCTTGGTACCCGTGGCCTTGGCCATTCCATTGCCTTCCTCTTCCGCCGCCATTCTTGCCTCGCCCCTTTCCTCCACCCCTTCCTCCATTGCCTTGATTGCCCTGCCCCTGGTTCCTACCTCTTACAACACTGCCCTGTGAACTGGGATCAGGTGACGGTGGCGGGGCCACAGGTTGGGCCTGGGCCGCGGGGTAGATGGGTGGTGGCATACTTGTCTGCGGTCCGGCTACTGGCGGCGTGCTTCCCCATGGCACAATTGCATTGATCACCGGCCAGGGCCACTGTCCATAGGAGGGCGCCCCGCCTTGCGAGGGGCCCGTACTAGATGATGGAGTCGCCACATTTAAAGGGGCTGCTGCCTGGGTTTGAGGCGCCTACGCTTTTCCTGATCCCTGTCCGCCCTGCGCCAAATTACGCACTTTGCGGTGGACCTTCGTCAGGTGCTGCGGCACCGGCTCTTCCTCTTCCCAGAGCTCCTCCTGGCCAGCCTCCTCTATTACTGGCTCCTTTCCTTTTACTTTGACAACCGTCACCACCCTTCTTTGCACCACTTGCTCTGTCGCATACCCTAGCTGTGCCAATACGTCTGTAACAATCCTTGTTACTCCCAGGGTCCCAGAAGCGGTCGCATCCCTTTCCTTTCTCTTCTGTCTTTGCAAGTGTACCTGACGCTGTTCCACCTGGTCCAAGCACCCAACTTCCACCCCTCTGTCAATGGTGGCCCATGTGAGCTTTGTGCTACCTTCTCCATGTCTTGTCAACTCGACGGCCCCTGATGCTGTGAGTAGCCCCAGGAAGATGGCGTACTGTGCTTCCTCCAAAATCCCATGGACCTTCCGCGCCCTCTTCTTAAATTCTTGAACAAAGGCCCCTATAGTCATAAAATCCTCTTTGTTCATCGCTTCAAGGTCCATGGTAGTCAACAACCCGTCTCCCAGGCGGTATTTCCTCTGCATCCTCTCCTTGAGCCGCATCTTTGACTTTCTTCACCTCCAAATGGTAGTTGTGGAGGACATACTGAAGGATGCGTTGAAACTTTACAACATCCGGCCGCCCGACCAAAGCTTGTTCCACCCGCTCTAGCCATTCCGAGACTCTCTCTCCACAGAAATGGAAAGTATCGACCTTAGGGATGTTGCTCGGGTTCCTTTCATGTCGGTCGATGGCCGCGATGAGGTCATCGAGTGTCAGACCCTTCTTGGGAACAATTGATGTGCCGCCAGTCTCAGGCATCTTGACTGCCTTTTCTTTTTAAGTTCCCTGGCAAAAGAAAACAAGTACATCCCCTTATTCAACATTATACCTTGACTGGTCTATTCCATTCGTCCTACCTAACCCTTAGTACTTACTTTACCCACTGTTAACACGATCATCCCTCATACTTCCTCTATTTGGGTAGGTAAATTTTCTCACCTACATTTAGTCATTCATATATTCCTTCATTACCTTCTCATCACTCTTTTATGCCTTTTCTTATTCACTTCTCATACCCGGATGTCGTTCCACCAGGGACAACGGTAGGCTTTCCATTATCCCCGGCAACGGCGCCACCTGTCGGGCGCATCGGTCCGGCACCGCACAGGGGCAGCGCGGGACCCTCCCGGCCACGTCACGCAGGAGTCAGTTTTCATAACCCTTCGTCGCAATATACATGGAGCTTCCGCAAGCCGCTCCGACCGGGTGCGCCAGCCATACTTCTCGCGAGCCCCTATGACAGGATAGGGCCTACGCGAGGCATGACTTACCTACACCTTACGGGAGCTGTCACCTCCCTTCGGTGGGCGTATCCCCGTCGAGTTACCAGTCCACAGTACGAAAGCTAATCAGTTGCAATCGCAGAGGTGGATCAGCCGCGGGCGTTTCTCGTTCACTGTAGCATAGGGGGTACGCGCGGTATTACGCCTCTATCGGACCCGCACGAGAACCGACATCTTGGGAGGGCTGAGGTCCCAAGCGCGACTCATCGTCGGTCGACTAGGACGCATCCCACACACCACGCGCACTCCACTTTACGAACACTCATACACACAAAACAACATATATACGAAACGACACAATACCAACAATGCGACAACGCTCCTAGCCCCTCGGTAGCCAACCCATAACTTTCCAATGCGGAACTCGGATAAGCGTCGCGCGCTGAACTTAGTATAAAACCGCGCGGATGCAGGGCATATTCATATCGACTTGCAATGCAGGCGTACACAATCAGTCGCAACGATGGCGTACTATGTAGTGTCCATAATCAAGCGGTCCCTCGCGGATTCGAGTACCGCTTATGATACTCAAGTGTCAGACTTGAAGTGTCGTGAGGGCCTAGCCCTTCACGACATTGCACGGCTGAAGGCATAGTCGTGCAGCCGCCGAGGCACCTCAGGCTCTCGACCTGAGTGTCACGGTAGGCAAATCAAATAGGCTTTTTGCGAGGGAAAACCCTTCCCCTGCAGAGCCTAGGGCTTGGGATGTCTTGTACAAGGACCTCGAATCCCAGGCCAGGACCAAACGTCCGACTAAGAAAGTCATCAAAAAGCAAGAGACAAGAATAAAAGGAGAGACCCCCCCTAAGTCCCTCAGTCTCAGCTTCTGAGTGAGCTCCAATGTGGGGGTTCTCCAACCCACGCAAACATTCATCCCAAGTATACCCATGCATACATATATAAGAGTTAAATATGTGACGATCATTTTTCATGGTCTCACTGGGGTCTCTCACGATAATACGTATATGTGTGATCGCAAGCAACCTAATTCAGAATCTGATTCACAGCACATATCTGCCATCACATCAACAAACCAAATCAACACCCCACACACTACACGGAGTCAACCTCAACCACCTTCGATATTCATACCCCTTTGCTTTAGCCATGCAAGCCCCAAAACCTCCTGTCCAACCAACCTTAATTAAATACTCAGCACCTTTGTCAAATGGCCATTCAATAAAAGTCCGGATGAAACCTTAATAAAACAACGAAATCACCAGGCCTAAAGCCTTTTAGGTTGAGTGTAGAGAGAGAGTTGAAATTGAGTCGTAGACCGACGAATCGGCAACCGACCTGTTATCAGCGATAACAGTAAGTGATCCTCAAGGGATCAAGCTGAGTCTAGTCCTGAACTTGAATCAAATGATCAAGAAGACCTACAGCACACGACAGATCACCCCCCAAGCTAAGATCATAAGTGTATGGAGAACAGAACTCCATGACACATCCTCACTCAAAATTTTCTTATAAGCTAGACCTAAGTCTACCTTTAAGTCAGTGCTTAAGCTGAAGGTAGACTAACTGCAAAGCCTCCCCTATTCTGGGTGGATCGCCTAAATCACCTATCAAAATATAATCTATCTCCTCTAAACTAAGAAAATTTTGGCAGCGCTTCCCGTAGAAAAAATGTCTTTTCATAATTTATATAAGTCGAGATATGAGAGCAGAAATAATCTCTAACTCTGGAAAGTCAAATTTTGTCTAACTCTCTGAATTAGTATAAATTTGGGCAGCACTTCCTCTAGAAAGGGAGACTTCTCTGATTTATACTAAGTCAGATATGAAAGCAGAATTAATCTCTAACTCTGGAAAGTCAAATCCTGTTTAACTCTCTGAATTAGTAGAAATTTKGGCARCACTYYCTMTAGAAAGGGAGACTTCYCAGATTTATACTAAGTCAGATATGAAAGCAGAATTAATCTCTAACTCTGGAAAGTCAAATCCTGTCTAACTCTCTRAATTAGTAGAAATTTGGGYAGSACTCCCTWKAGAAAGGRAGACTTCCCAGATTTATACTAAGTCAGATACGAACTCGAACAACAGTTCGAGCTCAACTTTTAGACTGATTTTAACTAACTCCTTAATTTTGCATAAATTTTGGTAGCACTCCCTCTAGAAAAGTGCTTTCCAAAATTTATACAAGGCTGAGTTTAGAATTTTAAGAAGAACTTCGACTTCTCAAAGTCCAATTTTGTTCAACTCCTTGGATTAGTAAAAATTTCGGCAGCACTCCCTCTAGAAAAGGAGACTTTTCAGATTTATATTAATCCATATATGGAAAAGACAAGCTGAACTCTGACAAGTCAAAAGTTGATTAACTTCTTGGATTTGTAGAAATTTCGGCAGCGCTTCCCGTAGGAAAAGTAGCTTGCCAAGATTTATACAAAGCCAAAAATAAGAAAAGATCTCAGAAAATGCAGGAATTGACACTAACTCATATGGCTCTAGCACGTGGCGAACAACTACAGCAACTACCTATAGTAATGAAACTTAAACAAACTAGTCATCTCATCCAGTCACATGCAAACCAAACCACGAATGTAAGTACTCTCACCATCCCAAGTTCATTCCATATAAATAGTTCGTGAATCTTCAAGTTCTTGAATCCTTATACCCATCTTACATAAGACATAGAGCTGGATCATTCGCCATGAAAACAATGCCCAACTTGTGCTTATGATATACGCGAACAAGTTGCACAACTATTTCTTTCTTCTTTTGGGCAGATGACTAGGCCATTCGCCATGGAAACAATGCCTAGTCGCCCTGAGCTGTTTAATATTCAAAAATTTAGTATTTCTCTGACTTTGTTTTTAAAAGAAAAAACAAATATGGGCAGGGGACTGAACCATTCACAGTAGAAACAATGTTCAACTTGCCCAACTTTTTCGATTTATACTTTGTATTTCCCTTTTTCTCTTCTTAATGATATGGCTTAACGCTGGACCATTCACAGTAGAAACAATGCCCAGCTGCCAGTTCACATGCAAATATATATAAAATAATTTCCCTTTATACTAAGTTTAGCTTATGTGTGTGGTTTTCATGCTAAACCATTCACCATGGAAACAATGCTTAGCCTTAGACCAAAAATCCTCCCTCAGAATAAACAAGAACTTAAACTCCTTAAATCAGGCAAACCCGTGAGTTAACTAGAGCAACCAGGCCATTCACTATGAAAACAATACCTGGTTCCCCAGAAAACAACTAAATAAACACAGCAACCAGATCATTCACTTTGGTAACAATGTCTGGTCCTTCAGAAAACAGTCAAATAAAACACAGCCCTGAGCCATTCACCATGGAAACAATGCTCAGGCTTTGGTTGACCCTTCCAAACACATGCAAGACTACCTTCCTCCCACCTTCCCCCAATTCATCCTTAGTCTGCTTTCAATCAGAACAAAATAGAAACTTAGGCTTCACTCTCACACATTCTTTCCAGTTAGTCTGATTAGGTCCTGAAGAGAAAGCAAAAACCATAGGGACAAACGCATGCATACAACAATYATACTGCARGGAGATWGGCAAACATGGGTAGTAGTGGGGTTTATACAGATGAAAAGGTATATACCTAATGGTTCCCTGCCTCCAGAACCTCGCCTAGGTTCCGGCAGAGCTCCTGCAATCGGTGGGGCGAACCTCCCACAGAGGCCTTGGCGCGGACCTACGGGTTGCAATCCCGCCTGCCGCGTTCCTCACGTAGCCAATAGAGTAGACTTAGACTTTAGAAGGGCAGATAGAGAAAAGCGTGAGACTCTCAGATCCAAGAATGGTACTCTCAGACTCGCGGGAGAGGGCCTTGTAGTCTTGATACTCCTGAGGGCCCCGCAATGGCGGCCAACTGACAGCTTGACCAAACCGGAATCAACCGCTGAACCCGATTGCTGAACTCAACCCTCCTGACGGTCTCCTAACTCGCAGCACTAACTGTCTAGTTGCTCGACCTGGTCACCTCCCCTGAGCCTCACACCTCTCCTTAGTGCGATCATTACCGCACCGCAGCCCACATTTCCCTCAAACGCAGCAGAAGTACTTCACGATGGTCCAATAGAACCGGCCGCAGTCCGTGTCCGGTCCGCAATACCAGCATACATTAGCATCCGTAGTACACAGCGAGCAATAGTTCCCAATATATTGCAGCAGATCCTCCCTCAACAATGGTCACAATCCGCAGTATCAGCAGATCAGGGCACCAATCACCAGTATCATCGTGCCACGTTCAGCGACGTCTGATCACGAGCCACAACAATCGCAATGGCATAGTAGCAGCTTTGCTTGAGCACCCG